TCAGGCTCCTGTGAGTCTGCAGTGCGCTCCCATCCCGCCAGCCTGCCGCTTCAAACCTGGGCCCCACACTGAGTGACCCACCTGTCAAGCCCACCACTTCAACCCTGGACCCCATGCATCCCAGTGTCTGAGCCCGTGGGCGAGTCTGGGACTTGTACGACCTGCCCAACAAGCCCGCCGCTTCAACCCCGGGCACTGTGACTGCGTGATCATCTGCCAAGCCCACCGCTTCAACCCTGGCCCTGTGCGTACCGGTAACAGGGCCTGCTGTCAAGTCTCAGACTGCGCAACCCACCTGCCAAGCCTGTGGCTTCAACCTTGGGAACCACGTGTCCTGGTACCTGGGCCCTCCAGAGAGTCTTGAAAAGCATGACCCTCCTGCCAAGCCTGCCGCTGCAGCCACAGGCCTCAGGCGACATGCAGCCTAAATCCTTTGTTGAAAGCAAAAATGGGGAGACAAAGAAACAACACCCAAAGGAAAAAAAAAGGAGGAGTCAACAGAAAAGGTACTAAATAAAATGAAGGCATGCAATATGTCAGAAAAAGAATTGAGAGTAAGGGTCATACAGTTTCTAAACCAGCTGGATGAGAAAATCAACAACTTATATAAGAATCAAGAGGAAATAAAGAATGATACAGGTATAATAAAAAAACACAATGAAAGATTTCAACAGTAGACTAGAAGAAGCTGAGGATTATATTAGCGAATTAGAAGACAGGGCAGAAACAATCTGAACAGCAATTGGAGAAAAAAATAAAAAGCAGGAGGAGAGCCTAAGGGAGCTTTGGGACAACATAAAATGAAGTAACATACATATAATAGGGGTGCCAAAATGACAAGAAGAGGAGCAAGGATTAGAAACACTATTTGAAGAAATAATGACAGAAAACTTCCCTGATTTAGGGAAAGAAAAAGTCACATAAGCACAGAGTTCCAAACAAGATGAACCCAAAAAGACCCACACCGAGAAACGAAATAATTACACTGGCAAACATTAACAAAAGAGAACCTTAAAGGCTGCAAGAGAGACAGAGAGTTACCTACAAGGGATCTCCCATTAGATTATCAATGAATTTCTCAATAGAAATAAATCAGGCCAAAAGGGAATCGAATGAAGTATACAAAATGATGCAAAGCAAGGGACTAAATCCAAGAATAGTCTATCCAGCAAGGCTATCATTCAAAATTGAAGGGGAAATCAAGAGCTTCGCAGACAAAAAAGGGCTAATGGAGTTTATCAATACCAAGCCAGCAATGTAAAAAATGTGAAAAGGACAGCTGTAAATAGAAGAAATAGAAAGGAAAGAAAGAAAACAGACATAAAAATAAAAATGGATCCAAAGAATAATAATAACCTTAAACATAAATGGATTAAGTGCTCCAATCAAAAGACATCGAGTGGCGGAATGGATAAGAAAACATGACCCTTATATGCTGTCTACAAGAGACCCACCTCAGAACAAGGGACTCACACAGACTGATAGTGAAGGGATGGAAAAATATCTTTCCGGTAAATGGAAATGAAAAAAAAGCTGGGGTAGCAGTACTTATATTGGAAAAAATACACCTCAAAGTGAATGCAGTAACAAAAGATAAGGAAGGTCACTTCATAATACCAAAGGGATTGATACAAAAACAGGATATAACTCTGGTAAACATATATGCACCCAATACAGGGACACCCAAATACATAAAAAAAAACTTCGGGAAGATATCAAGAAAGAGGTCGACAGTAATACAATCATAGTAGGGGATTTTAATAGCCCTTTGACATCACTTGATAAAGCCTCTAGACCAGTGGTTCTCAACCTTCTGGCCCTTTAAATATAGTTCCTCATGTTGTGACCCAACCATAAAGTTATTTTCGTTGCTACTTCATAACTGTAATGTTGCTACTGTTATGAATCGTAATGCAAATATTTGATATGCAGAATGGTCTTAGGCGACCCCTGTGAAAGGGTTGTTGGACCGCCCAAGGGGTTGCGACCCACAGGTTGAGAACCGCTGATTTAAGTGCAGGTGTAGAGTTGGCCATTGAGACTGAAGCTCATGAAGAATGCTCTACACAAAAAATCAACAAAGAAACATCAATCCTAAATGACTCACTTGATCACATGGACTTAATTGACATCTTCAGAACATTTCACCCCAAAGCTACAGAATATATATTCTTCTCAAGTTCACATGGAACATTTTCAAAGATAGACCACATATGGGATCATAGGCAAAGTCTCTCCAAATAAATAAGATTGAAATTATATCAGGCATCTTCTCAGATCACAATAGCATAATATTAGAAATCAACTACAATAAAAACAATAAAAAATTCAAACACTTGGAAGCTGAATAGCATGCTGTTAAACAATGATTGGGTTACCAAAGAGATCAAAGAAGAAATTTAAAAAAAAAAAAACATCCTGAACACAAATGACAATGAAAACACAACAATCCAAAATCTATGGGACACAGTGAAAGCAGTCCTGAGAGGGAAGTTCATAGCATTACAGGCCTACCTCAAAAACAAGAAAATTGGTAATAAATTATCTAACTCTAATACTTAAAGAATTAGAAAGAGAGTAACTAGAAAAGCCCACAGTGAGTTGAAGAAGTAGATAATTAAGATCAGAGCAGAAATAAATGACAGAGACCAAAAAAAACAATACAAAAGATCAATAAAAACAAGAGCTGGTTCTTTGAAAGAATAAACAAGATTGATGAGCCTCTAGCCAGGCTCACCAAGAAGCAAAGAGAGAGGACCCAAATAAAAAAAATCAGAAATGAAAGAAGCAAAGTAACAACAGAACCCACAGAAATACATAGCAAAAAAAATACTATGAACAACTCTATTCCAACAAATTGATCAATATAAAAGAAATGGACATATTCCTAGAAAAATACGACCTTCCAAACCTCAATTAGAGCCCTGACCGGTTTGGCTCAGTGAATAGAGCGTCGGCCTGCGGACTGAAGGGTCCCAGGTTCAATTCCAGTCAAGGGCACGTACCTTGGTTGCGGGCACATCCCCACTAGGGGGTGTGCAGGAGGCAGCTGATCGATGTTTCTCTCTCATCGATGTTTCTAACTCTCTATCCCTCTCCCTTCCTCTCTGTGAAAAATCAATAAAATATATTTTTTAAAAAACCTCAATAAGAAAGAATAAAAAATCTGAATAGGCCTATAATTATGGAGGAAATTGAAAAGCCCTGGACCAGATGGCTTTACAGGGGAGTTTTACCAATCATTCAAAGAACTAAAACCTATCCTCCTCAGACTATTCCAAAAATTTCAAGAGAAAAAAACACTTCCAAGCTCTTTCTATGAAGCCAAAATTACCCTAATCCAAAAACCAGATAAAGACACTACAAAGAAAGAGAATTACAAGGCAATATCCCTGATGAACATAGATGCTAAAATCCTCAACAAAATCCTAGCAAATTGGATCCAGCATTACATCAGAAAGATCATACACCATGAGCAAGTGGGATTTATTCCAAGGATGCAAGGGTGGTACAATATCTGCAAATCAATAAACATGATACATCACATAACCAAACTGAGAGATAAAAATCACAGTCATATCAATTGATGCAGAAAAAGCATTTGACAAAATCCAAAAACCTTTCTTGATAAAAACCCTCAGCAAAGTAGGAATAGAGGGATCATACCTCAACATAATAAAAGCCATATATGACAAACCTACAACCAACATCATAGTCAATGGGCAAAAACTAAAACCATTTCCCCTAAGAACAGGAACAAGACAGGGATGCCCACTCTCACCACTCCTGTTCAGCATAGTATTGGAAGGAACTAGTCATGACTCAGAACGTTGGATAGATTGACCTATTAAAAACTAAAATGATACATTAAGGCAGCGGTCACCAACCTTTCAGACCTCATGGACCACCAGTGGTCCGAGGACCACCGGTTGGCAACCTCTGCTCCAAAGGTTTCCTTAAACCAGCGATTGTCAACCTTTCGGACCTCACAGACCACCAGTGGTCCGCAGACCACCAGTTGGTGACCGCTGCATTAAGGTATAAAATTACACATAAATAGTATAATTTAAAATTGTACCATTTAGAATCCATGACTTCTTATAACCACTTTCAACACCTTAATTACTGTCTTCCCTGTAAACAGCACCTCTCTGTATTCAGCCTCACAAATTATTACAGCAAGGTGCATTTTTATATGTTAAACTAAAAAAAAGGAAAAATCAGTGTGTGTGAGACTATCACAATGTCTCACTCATGCATTGCTGTCATATTCTATAGTATATTCATGTTTGTTTTTATATAAAATTAATGTCCCCAAATACTTAAAAAGTAAAACTGGTGCTCCTGACACTCCCCCCTGCACTGGCTGGTGTGGGCACCCTAGCTGAGAAGACATCTAACTTTGCGGCATTAGAAGTATTAAAATAATCAATATGCAACATTCATTATAACACCAAATATTGTGAGTTTCACCACAGTTGACGAGCTGGAAAATTTTCTTTCCCCTGACTCAGTTCCCCACCCAGGAGTGAGATGGTGTGGATGCTACTATGTCTGTCATCATCACTTGCTTACTATGTGCCAGGTGTTATATTAAGAGCATATGGCAGTCAGCTAGTTGACTATCTTACTATATATTCTCCAATTTTATAACAAAAGATGATGAAATCTGGACATTGCTGTATCTTTTCTGAGCATAGTCTGTATTTTTTTCCATTTCTCCAGGAATGAAAACGTGAATTCTCACTAGCATATGAATCCCTAGTCCACCTCAAATCTTCCTCAAGACTTCTTGAAGTGTAGTTGTTAAGCACTTCAGTCTACCACATACACTTTTGGATAACTATTATTAAATTTACTGGTTTGGTAGAGTGCATGTGTGTATTCTTGTATAGTGTCCAAAAACAGCATAGGTATGAGATTATACAATTAAGTCTACAGTTAAAGGGTATTTACAGGGAAAACCAGTAATATCCAATTGCAGAGAAGAAAAATATTACCTTCATTATAAGAGAACTATTCCAAGATTTTACAAGTTCAATAGCTCTCAGATCTTGCCAACTAATGAAGTTGTGAAAATGATCTCCCGTTTTCCTAAGAAAAATGAAAACAACATTTTGAAAGTCAATATAAATCAGAGACTATCTATACTAATAGAGAAATATGCAAATTATCTGTTACACCATAACATCACAACCAGATCAGCAGGCTGTGTCCCCGCCCTCTGCTCAGGCAGCTGCAAGGCCCAGGGTAGGATAGGATACGATAGGAGGGGGTAAGAAAGGAGAGGGAGAGGAAGGCAGGCCTGCAAGGAGACAGGCGAGAGGAGAAACAGAAATACAGAAAAGGAACAAGAAAAAGATGCAGAAATGGAAAAGGGAAGGAAACGCGGGGGTGCACACGAGAGGGGGTGGTGACCGCAGGGGGTGGGGAGAGCAGGTGCACCCGGCACCCCGGCAAAGGGGGGGGGGCAGGAGCCCCGAGAGCCACAGGAGGAGGACAGTGGCCCCCAGCGTGGCCCATTGGCGGGGCACCCCCGGGTCTGGGCCCCCACGGGTCCAGGACGGAGTGGGGGATGGTCCGAGGCCTTCTGGGGGGAGGTGCTCCTGCTTCTCGGCAGCAGCAGGACCCAGGCCATGTGGCCCTCGGCCCCTTCGCTGGGCCAGGCGTCCCGGGCAGGGAATGGGAGCAGGACAGCAGTGGGGAGGGCGGGGGGGGGGGGCGGGGGCAGAAAACACTGCCGGGCTGACCCTGGGCTTGGGGTTAAT